GCTGCTGCGCCCCGCCCTTAGCCACACAGCGCAGCAAATGCTAGACGACGTTGCGGCTGCCTGGAGCAGCAAAGCAGCAAAGCAGCAGCAGCAGCAGCAGCAGCAGCCCCCTGCAAAGAGGCCCGCACATGCTGGAGGGGAAGCGGCAGAGCAGCGACGCGGAGCTGCCGCTGCAGCAGCAGAAGCAACAACGGCAGCTGGTGCTGCTGCTGCTGCAGACTCGACAGAAGCAAGAGCAGTTGCAGCAGCAGCAGCGCTGCGGACACTTTCAGATTTGCTGCCTTTTGGCTCCTCTGGTGCATTCACTGCTGCTCTAGTTTCAAGAGACCTTTCCCCTCCTCTGCAGCAGCAACAGCAGCAGCAACAGCAGCAGCGAGACTGTTCCTGCTGCCCCGACTGCATCGCGAGGCAGCAAAACGAGAAGCTGCTTGTTGGGTTTGTGCCTCCGGACCTGGCGCTGCTGCTGCTGCAGCACGAAGCAGAAGCAGCAGGGAAGTCGCCTCCTCTGCTGCAGGCTGGGTGGAACAGCAGCAGCAGCAGCAGCACAAGGGCATGTGCTGCTGCTGCAGCACAGCTGCTGCTGCAGACTGAAGAGTTTGCTGCTGGAGGCGAAGTGCGACACAGCCGCACAGCCTTTCTGTGCGCCTACAGAATATGCATGTCTCACCCTGGTGCAGCAGCAGCAGCAGCAGCGGAACCAGCAGCAGCAGCAGCAGAGCCAGAAGCAGCAACAGCAGCAGCAGCAGCAGCAGCAGCGACGGAAAAGGAAGTTGTTGAAGCAGCTAATCAGTTTGCTGCAGCAAAGGCAACTCTCGCCGGTGACGTTTCCATGCAGGCGTTTCTCCTGTTCGGCGCTAGTGCTGCAGCAAAAGGCAGCAGCCACAGCAGCAGCAGCCTCAGCAGCAGCAGCAGCAACAGCGACTGCAGCAGCAGCTGCTGCACCGCTGCAAGCTGGCAGCGGCTGACCGTGGCTCTGATGGAAACAATTGTGCGCCCCGACCTAGAGGCCATCCGCAACCACCTTAGGCAAGCTGCTGCTGCTGCTGCTGCTGCTGCTGCTTTCTTTGCTGCTGCTGTTACTGCTACCGCTCGCTGCAGCTGCTGCTGCTGCTCCTTACACTCTCTGCAGTGAATGCCTTTTGACCTTTCGACGTCTTTGCTGCTGCTATGCCATTTCTCTCTCTCCCATTGCTGCTGCTGCTGCTGCTGCTGCTGTTGCGTCTGCTGCAGCGAGACAACGCGGGAATACTCTTCATTTGGAGGTGCTGCAGCAGTTTGTTTGCTGCTGCGGGCCCTAAGGAGGCGGCCACTGACACCTGAGCGCCGCTGCAGCCGCCTGCAGCGCAAGGCCTCTCAAAGAGGCAGCGGCAGCAGCAGCAGCAGCAGCAGCAGCATCAGCAGCGACGGCCTTCCTGCCAGCAGCAGCGGCACCAAGCAGCAGCAATTTGATCCAGACCGCGCCATAGGAGGTAACGGAGTTCACACTGCTGCTCCAGCTGCCACTGTTTGCGGTTGCTGTTGCTGCTGCTGCTGCTGTTTGCTGCTGCTGCTGTTGCTGCAGCCTACTGCTACTGCAGCCCTGGAGCATTAGGTACACCGGCTTGTTGCTGCTGCTGGGCTGCTGCTGCATCTCATTTCGCTGCGTGTGTCCCTTTGGGTGCGTCTGCAGCAACCGTGGTGTTTGCTGCAGCAGCAGCGCTGCAGCTTCCTGCTGCTGCTGCTCCTCACCAAGAGCTCTCGCGTCTCTGTCTGGAGGTGCTTCAGCTGGCAGCAGGCTTCAAAGGAGACAGCGCTGCTGCTGCTGCTGCTGCTGCTGCTGGGAGAAGACAGGGCGCAGACGCAGCAGCAGCGGCAGCAGCAGCTGCAGCGGCAGCAGCAGCAGCAGCAGCAAAGGCACTCGATACTGCAGTTGCCCTGGGGCAGCAGCAGCCGCTGCTGCGGAGACACCTGGCGGTATCTCTCCGCCTTGCGACTCCCACCAGACCCTCTGCAGCAATATACAGAATGTATGCTGCTTCTTCTTCTGCTGCTGCTGCTGTTGCTGTTGACGTTTCTCTTGCTGCTGCTGTTGCTGTTGACGTTTCTCTTGCTGCTGCTGTTGCTGCTGCTGTTGCTGCTGCCGCTGCTGCTACTGCTGATGTGGACGCCTTTGCGCTAGCTGTTACTGTAGCTGCTGCTGCTGTTGTTGCTGTACGGGCCTTAGCATTTGCTGCAGCTGCTGTGGCTGCACATCCTAATAGCAGCTGCGCAGATCCAGCAGCAGCAACAGCAGCAGCAGCAGGCAAGTGCACTGTGTGTCTGCAGTCTGCTGCTGCGGCTGCGGCGCTGCATCTCTTGCCCATCAGCATCAGCAACTTGGTCGCCCCACATCTGGCGCACAGAGGAGCCAACAGCAGCAGCAGTAGCAGCAGCAGCAGCAGCAGCGAAAGCAGCAGCAACGGGCGCAGCAGATAAATGGTTCTGTCGAGTCTCTGCTGCGCTGCTTCTCTTCATTGGTGATACAACAGCAGCCGCTGCTGCTGCTGCGGCTGCGCAGCGGCGGCAGCAGCAGCAGCTGCTGCAGCACCAGCCTGCAGCAGCAGAGGTAGGCAGCAATCCAACAGAATTTTAGCTGTTAACCATTTCTAGCCCTTTTGTCCGCTGCTGCTGCTCGCTACCTCCAGTTGCTGCTGCTGCTGCTGCTGCTGCTGCTGCTGCTGTAGGACTCAACGGCGGCGTACCCGCCAGAAGCAGAGACGCAACCACGGGAGCGCGAACAGCAACAGCAACAACAGCAGCAGCAGCAGCAACAGCAGCAACAGCAACAGCAGCAGCAGCAGCAACAGCAGCAGCAGACTGTGGGGCTATTTGAGGCAGCTGCCCCATTAGTAATAGTAAGCCCGTCGCTCGCGCGCCTGCTGCTGCCGCTGCTGCTGCTGTCTTCGCTGCGCTGCGGCGGCGCAGCAGCAGGAGCAGCGCTTGCTGCTGCCCTCAACAACCACGTGTTTGGGGCCTTCAGGCAGCAGCAGCAGCAAGAGCAACAGCAGCAAGAGCAGCAGCAGCAGCAGCCGCAGCAGCTGCAGCAGGAAGCCGTTTCTTCCGCCCACCGTTCAGTTGCTGCTGTCTGCCTGAAGGCGCTGGAGCTCCTAATGGTCCTTCCTAATATAGCAGCAGCAGCAGCAGCAGCAGCAAATGAAACATCCTGCTTATCTACTTCTCAGCGACAGTCACAGCCGCTGCAGCAGCAGCAGCAGAAAGGAGTGGCTGTCTTTTGGCAGGAGCTGGACCTGGAAGCAGCAGCAGCAGCAGCACTCGCGTTGGGAGCAGCAGCTGCTGCTCTGCTGCTGACGGAGCAGCAAATAGTGAAGATCTACGGAGACAGAGCAGCACCGCTGCAGCAGGGGCGGGAGGCCCTTGTGGCTGACGCGCAGCAGCAGCAGCAGCAGCAGCGGGGGCGTCTTGCTGCTGCGCTGCTGCCGGCGCCCCCCCCGCCGCTGCTGCTGCTGCTGGTTCGTGCGCATGCAGCAGCAAGTGCAGCAGATGCAGCAGCAGCACACCGCTGCCTCGAGGGCTGGCACTCTCCTGCTGTGCTGCTGCAGCGAGCAGCAGCAAGTGCTGACGCCGTAGAGGTCTTGTCTCTGCTGAATCTCAAAAGAGAGACTGCTGCTGCAGCGGGCCCTGCTGCTGCTGCTGCTGCTGCTGCT